CGTAGAGAGCGACACCCCCTCCTTGTCTCCCTTTCCTGTCCTTTCTAAAAAGCTTATACCCCTCCATGTTGACACTCCAGTCATAGGAGTGGTCGCACCACGTCTCCGTGATGCCAATAAGGTCGTAGCCCTGCTCATGTGCACGCATCTCCAGCTCATCCTGTTTATTTCCCATGCTGCGTGCGTTGGTGTACATACACTTCAGCTGGGCCTCCGACAAAGCCGACTCGCTGGCTGGAGCGACAGGGGTTCTCTTGGATGGCAGTGTAAGTTCGTTAACCACCTACAAGTGGTTAATTTTTACATCTTTGGCCAAAAGCTGCTGTAAGATCTGGAGTGCCAGTGCACTTGTTTCCAGGCCCTCATCCTCAGCTAAGCGAGTGGGCAGGCATTGCCTCAGAGAACTGGCTGTGCTCAACCCCTGGAACTCTGTTGCACAGCAGTTCGCAGTCAGCAAGTCCATTATGAACATCATTAACATGATCTCTGTCACCTGTTTTGTCTGCTCCCTATTGTTTGTTGCTCCCAGTGTCACTTCTGCATTCTTGAGGCACAGCACGATTTGTGTCAGAGCCATCAATGAGACCCGCATCCTAACCCAAGGTTCTTTGTGAGGCATGCTCCACAGCAGCGCTCCCAGTGACCACAGGCCAGTCCTGCTCATAAGTGTTGGTTACATAGCCATGGAGGACGCTCACATCTTTCTCCTGGTACATACCAGGGTTTCCCAGTGTACGTATCAACATGTATGAGAGACAACAACTGCACAGCCATCAACAGCACATCCTCTTCTGCTAAAACATCTGTGGCCTTATCTCAAAGGTAATGGCAACCTCATTTCCTGATGGATGTTTTCTGATTGCACCTTCACGTGGCCCAAAGTCTGTTGGTGCTGCCATCAGTTCAACGTCAGGAGAAAGGGCACTGCAGGGCTCATCGTGACCTGGTGTGTGCTTCTCAGTCATTAGGAAGACAGCAGAGATGCCTTCCTACCAGAGAGACTTTGGGAGAAACATTAAAACTACAGTAACAGTAGTTTCTTTAATAAATGTGCAGGGAGGCATTTGCCACTCCACAGGATGCTCTGGCCCTCACCACTGATGGATATATGCTGTGTCCTGGGACTGAAAGCAATTAAAATGCTGCAATTTGTGCTTTTGAAAGA